TCATGCATAGATTTGTGTTTGTTAGTTATTACATAATTTTCTTTAAAAAGTCTTCAGTATTCAAACTCCTAGTTCCTTCTTGTTTTAAGATAAACCTACAAGTCTCGTTCAACTTTACAAGTCAGGCCACATGATTAAGGAGGTGCCGAATCCGAATAGCATCACTTCTGATCAGCGTAACCACCTCGTCAAACTACTCGAAGATTCCACCTCTCCCTCTCTGCAAAAAGCAGCTCTGGCTCTCTCCCAACTCAATAGTCTGCTGTGCATTTGCACACACGAGCCTGACTTGATTCTTTCGGCCGCCGTAAATGGATCAAGAGAATCTATTCTATCGCTTCATCACTTCTACAAAAATGTGGATAGCTTAACTTCATATGGGCTCCACCTAGACTTGTGTTGTGCCCTGCGCAGAACGGATAATAAACGGGAAAATGAAGAGAAAAACAGGGCACGGGAGTTGGCCTTTCAAGTATAGTTTTTTTTAATTTTGAATGGCTTCGGCCAACCTAACTGCCTACAGGCTTCCAGTAAACCTTTTAATGATTTTGATAGTGTCGATACATATAGTGTTCATCCGGCTGTTTTCGTTAAAGTTGTACTTTGCTTACTACTGGGATAAGTGAAAATGTCATAACTTATTTCAATTAATCATCATATTTATGGTAATTTATACATATCATATGTACAGGTCCTTATAGATATTATTTATTTAGTTGTAACTGATCTGCTGTCGAGATTTGAGCAAAAATTATTTAAGCCTATAGGACTCCATTTCTAACGATATTCTCATGTCTTCGGTAGTACTTGTGTATGTCTTAAAACTTCTGATGTATGTAGGAACCTGCTTACTTTAAAAGAATCATTCCGCTAGTTTGTACCAGATAGGCGGAAAAGCTTGTAAAACTAAAATATATCAAGTGTCTTTCCATTATCTTATCTAAAGTATTCCTTCTGCATTAAGTTTAAAAGAAGTCTCAATAAAGACTATAGGACAGACCCTCATACAGATCTTTTAAAGATGTACAGCATATACTAGCATCCTTTTTA